TATATATATATATATATATATATATATATTATATATATAAATATAATTTTTTTTCAGAAGAGACTTAGCTCCCTTTAGATTTGTTTTAGGCTATGGGGTAGTGTTCTTGTTAAGTTAGAAGACAGATTTAGAGTATAAACACTTAAGGAAGTAAATCTTGGCTCTAGACCTTGATAACTTGACTGTTCCTTTATTTCTCCCTCCAACTTAGGATGGTGATCGGGACATTTTTATTGATGGAGTTATTGCTCGTAATAGAGCCTTAAATGGGGACCTTGTGGTTGTAAAACTGCTTCCTGAGGACCAGTGGAAGGTGAGTTTAAATTTCCTTTTCTAATTATTTTCTTCATAGCGTACTGTGCATTTCATGATGTACTTAGGCATTGTGTGTGTTCGTGTGTGTGTATGTGTTGTGAGTTATGGGCGCCTTGGACCCCAAGGTAAAACTGAGTTTTGCCTCTAAATAAGGCTATTGAATGGGGATTTGAAGCCCTCCCCCTTCTCTCCAGTCAATCTACCTTGTTAGATCCTTGTACTGATTTCTGATATTCTTTTAGATAAGAAAAGTGCTTGTAGAGTCTTATCAAGTGTGAAATAATTTATTAATTTCCTACATCCTATGCTGTGAGAGCTGGAACAACAAACCCACAGAAGTGGTGTCATTTTTTCATCCATTTCTGCTTCCTTTACTGAGACACACAGCAATATATATATATATTTAGTGCTGAGATGTAAGGCATGTGCTGCCGAGCCTGGATCTAGACGTCTGCTTTGTGAATGCCCATGCTGCTAGAGCTTGTTAAGCAGCAAAGGGTTTGGCAAAACAGGGAGCAGCCCTGCAGTTGGTACAGTTCAGGTTTGTGAACAAAACTTACTGTTTTTCTTTTACAGTTAGTATGTAAAAATGGAAGAGATCAAACCAGAAGCTGTCCTGGCTGTTGTTTGAACATTGACTGCAGTGGGGACAAGTTGCATGTTACAGGAGCCAGTTTGGAGGCTGAGACGTAGCTTTGAGAGTGGAGGTGGAGAGAAGTTGGCATGTGAAGACAGAGTAGACAGGAGTGAAGGTGGCTGTGAGAACAGACAGGGGAGCTGCAAACGGCTGCTAAGTTTTGTATTTAAGCAAAATGACTTTGATGCTATTAGCTGAAACGGAGGACAGTGAGGAAAAGCATATTACTATAGGAAAAGTATTACTATAAATGTTACTAGTTTTGCCTGGTATTATTAATACTTTCCTTTTTGGATATATTATTGAAAAGAACTTCAGTATCCTAGATGGTCTCACTTACTGGTAAACCCTGCTAAACGTTTAAAGAGGAAATAGTCCTTGTCTTACAGAAGGAGCTACCTTTTTCCTTCATTCTATAAGACCACCATTGTGAAATACCAGAGTAAAAAACAACATAAAAAAGATATAAAGATGAATACCTCTCATTAACACAGGTGAACAAATATCCAACAGAATATTAGCAAAGACTCTAGGAACATGTACTAAGAATAGAACATGACTATGTGGCGCTAGTCCTAGAAATGCAAAGTTGGCTTAGTGTTGGAAAGCAATCTTTATAGCCCACCATTTAACAAACTAAGTCTTATACCATATTTCAACCAAGTTTCAGTCAGTATACATAGAAAATGCATTGGATAAAATTCCATAACTGTTCAGCATATGACTAATACATGGTTCAGCCGATCTGTTCTTGGTTGTTTACCTTAGTGAAATGAAATTATTGACACATAAGTCTATAAATGAAGTCTTATACACAAATGTTGTTTTAACTCCAAGATGGAGACAGATAGGCATCATTATGTGAGTGAGTAAACTGATCATGGAATGTCCATTCAATGGAGTACAATTCAGTAGTAAAATCAGAAAATGACTGACACATTCCACAAAAGAAATAGATCTCAAAATAATCATGATATATGAAAGAATACAGGGGACAGAGTGTACCCTGTGATTTGATTTGTACAAAAATCTAGAAGTGCAGACTAATTGTGACAAAAGAAAGACTAGTGGTGGCTTAGGGTGGGAGTAGGAGAAACGCTTATGTTCGTTCATTTGTTGTGGAATTGTTAATTGCATGTGCATTTCAGAACTCCTCACTTTGTACTTTTAGTATATGTAGTTTATTATGTGTTAGCTTTACCTCAATAATGTTGTAGAAAGTACTGAAAATAAGCAAAGTTCTTTACAAAAAATGAGTTTGGAGTTCCAGGAAGAGATAGAAACTAGACATGTATTTTTGGAAGTCATGAGTACATACATGTGTTTATAGCAACATTGGCAGGAGGATTACCTGGAGTCACAGCTGAAGAAGGGGAGAAACTTGAATCCTAAGTTCTTGTGTGAGCCACCATTTAGAGGTTAGGTGAGGACAGGATAGAGAGGCCTACATCCTGTCATATGGGGACAAAACGGTGATGACCAGATTATGCCTGATGTAGCTAAGGGACTAGTGCAATCCGAGAATATAGAGAACACAGGTACAGTGAGATGTAGTCAACAAACTCAGGCTCTTGCAGTCCATTCTCTGTGCAGAGAAGAGGGTGTAATTTTGTTGTCTGTGGTTTTTGAGACAGAGTTTTTGGGTAGTCCAGGTTGACTTAAAAGTTGCTGTCCTTCCTCAACCTTCTGAGTCCTAGGATTATTTATAGACATGTGCTTTTGAATATACCTTGCTGCTACTAATCTCTCTTGGCTGGCTGGCAGGATGGAGCTTAGTGGAGAGTCAGCAAGAAAGAGCAGAGTGTCGAGAGTTTTTGTCCTCAGGGATATAAGGAGCAGCTGAGCCCAAAGAGGGCAGAATGAGAGACATTTGATGCAAGGACCTACCTAGTGTAAGGTGAAATATGCTTTGTATTCCTCCACTGTAGGGCTGCCATATTTAGAGTGGGTCAGCAGCAAAGCTCTGGAAACACAGAAGAAGGTTGTTCATGTTCTCAGCTGCTCCTGTCTGAAGTTTTCAGCAGTCCATACTGTGGAGGAAAGTTTTCCAGGGACTAGAATGAGCTGTGGCATCTTGCAAGTCAAAAGAATAAGAGTCCCTGAACCTTGAGCACTGAGCACTAGCCTCAGTCGTTGAGTTGTCTGTGCAGCATAGACAATCCTCTGACTTACAAGAGCCAGAGGCCTCTAGAGCCCCATGGCTGACAGAGGAGATGACACTCAGCAGAGAAGCTTGTGAGCTGAGAACAGTTATTTCTTGTCTTTGAGAAAGATAGAGGTAGGAATGTCAGGCCTTAGATCTGGGCCTGTCTTTAGCCTATAAATTATTTATCTGGGGATTTTGATAAATAAAAATTCTAATTCAGTAAGGCAGGCCTAGGTGGTGCCACAAATTGTGCATTTCTAGTAAGTTCCCAAGCCATGTTGAGTCTCTTGTTTTGGGAGTCACATCTTGAGTAAACGACTCACTCTATGGAGCAAGAAGGAAAGTAAACGAAGCAGATAGGTGTGATTGGTCATTGTATCTGAGCTCTTTTTGATGGGGAAAGATAATTGAGTGAGTAGTATGGATATTAACAGTGTGGCTGGGCCATTGAGTCCCAGGCTAGATCTTTTGTGCCCTCTGTCTATTGGTAGCATACTAATGAACAGAGATTGACATGGACAGTCACAGGCCTGACTGGCAAGGAGCATTCCCTTCTTGTAATTGCTGCCAAGGGCTGGTGTAGGGCCATAGGGCTACACTCTTCAGTGGCAGTTTTGATGTACATGTGCTTCTTTAACTTTAAGAAGTTTGAGATTTGGAGGCCACTCTGGTTGCTTATTCTGTGTCCGTGGAGTTCCCAAGTGTCTTCACAGGGGCTGCTGACACCGGCTTTGGTTCTTTTCAGATCAGCGCCATTAGGCATATCTCTTAGGCCTCATTAGTCCATGTATTTCACAGCTCCTCAGTTTGAAGGGCTTGGAGGTTTATTTGCTGTGACCTAGCTGTGACAGTTGTTGGTGACAGAATCGACCTAGAGAGAGGAGAATATTCAGACTGTCACTAGAAAATCCTGACATGTATAATATAGGCACATCAAAACACACTGGCCAGTTGTATTACTTGTTTGTTAGTATAAAAACATGTTGTTATTAAAAGGACTCTCTAGTTAGTAGTGTAAGTGAATGTGAATTAATTGGCTTATTTGTCTTTCCTTCTTTATGCTTGCTGTGTTCACTCTCTTGGGTATGTAAACTGCAGTGCCTTTAGGGTTTTAGAGAAAAACAACAGTTCTTTTAGTTATAGTAGTAAATAGTCAATTTATTTCACAGCATGCTTTTTGGCAAAATAGATAGCTGTAAAAGTATCAAGCTGTGAGGCAATAATAAAAATAATTTACTCTTACATAACAATTTTAATTTCAGAATTCTTTCACATTTTTAGTGTTTGTATATAAGAGACCTCTACTGAAGAATATTTGAGGGACAAATGATAGTTTCTTTAGTTTGCCAGTTGGGGAACCAAGATACTGTGAGGGTGTGTGGTTCGAACACTTTTGAGCAGAGGTAGAGGTAGAATCAGGGTCTCTTGACCTGGGGCCCTTTTTCCTCAGGTGTTCTAATGGGTGCTGATGGTGGGAGTTATGTCCAAGCACTGGTCTTGTTTCTTCTTGGAGCTACACTGGATAACCAGCGGCTTCTCCCATTTATCCTGCCCTGGGCTAGATCCTGGAGATATAAACAGAATAGGTACCAGGTTTGCCCTTAGGGAGTCCGTAGGCTGGTTAGGAGGAGATGGAAAGAATGATTGTAGGGTTTACAACATGGAAAGAAATACATCATTATTTGAGCAGCAAACTCTGAGACAATTGGGAAAGGTGGCATAAAGGTTACATTAGAATTCAGGTTTGAGGGATGAGAGCTTTTGTTTTGTTTTATTCCAGGATGAGAATGATTTGTCAGGAGAGGGTTATGGAAACATCAGGTTTCAGAGAAGAACATGTGGGTTGAAGTATTGGCTAAATGAAATTCCTCTACTGACTCTCCCAGACATGTTGAAGAAGAGTGGGGTCTACCTGCTCTCAAGACCCTACCTTCTGTGGGAATCAGTGTCCCTGGCAGCTCATATAGTCCCCTGAGATATTTGCTAGGGTTGGGGAGATGACTTAATTGGTAATGTGCTCGCTACACAAGCCTGAAGACCTGAATTTGGATCCTCAGCATCCATCAAAAATCAAATCAAAACAAAACAAAACAGGTACACCAGTCTACCTTGATAACCCCAGTGCTTTGGGGTGGTGGGGTGATAGCAGCAGAGACAAAGGTGTCAGGGGCTTGTTGTCCAGCCTGTCTAGCTGTCGAGCTCCAGCTTCAGCTAC